TGATGCTGCTTAGTGCGACAAAGACCCCGAAGTTAATGAAATTCCTGCCTGCACAAACTTTTATCCTGCTGTTCAGTAAAACAACTTGTGCATCAAAAAGCACCATCACTCAAGCTGTTAAAATGCCTTCTGTGGAAAGGGAGGCAAAGGAGCAGGAGGAATAGATTTGTTAAATGACACATAAGCAGTGCTATATATTTAATATATGCCTATATTAGGTTACCGGAGGTTGTTGAGTTTAAAGCATGAGGGTGAACTGATCAACTGCTGTGCCAGCAATTGAAGTCTCCTGTTTGAATGGGAGTCTGACGAATGTTAACTGATTTCCATGTAAGATACCCATCCATCACCCACCACGCCTGGAAAAGCTCCATTTGCTGTAAAAACATGTTCCATTGACAACCGAATGCAGAAATAATTGAATCTTTACAAAGCCCCCCAAAGGAACTTGCTTTCTTTAAGAGCACATTTCAGATGGCAGCATCCACCTAGTTCCCAACATTCCCAATAATCTCCCTGTTCGATGAAAGGTCTGCTTTGCAGAAGAGGAGCTTTGCAGAGAACAACCCTTCCAGCAGGCCCTAATTAAGTTCTGCTTTGTCCTGATGAAGCACATTTCTAGAGCTGGGTTTCCAAACCCTGTGCATCGGCTCCAGCTTCTCTCCAAGTGGTTGGAAAACGCCCTCGGAGGGCTGGTGTGCACCGATTCCTTTTGGAAGCCCTCATAGGTGATAGACACTGATTCCTGACAATGTGCCCTGCTCTGTCCCAGGGGACAGGTGGGACCAATCTCTCCTTTCTCTGTTGGATAGGAGTTAAAAGCCCGGGCGTGTGGATCTTGAGCTCAGTTCATTCCAGCTCCCACCCCTCCTTCAAGTATTTTTTAAGGAATTTAGCTGGAATTTACTTCCAAGGTCACTTGGGCGCAGTGCCTGTGAGTAATCCTACCCCGGCTGGCTGGGAATGCTGGTGTCATTTATCATTTTCCCCTCTCTTATTTATAGAGCCGATTACAGAACTGCTTCCAGTGCCAAGGGCTCCCTCCAAGTCCATGGGGCTGTGCCAGTTTCCCCCCCAGAGGGGGTGAGGGAGGTGACATAACCCCAGCACATCCCCACAAGGACCCGTTGATGTAGGGAGCCACCTCCTGCATTGAAAAGGCAACGCAGGAGGCGGGCAGTATCCAGCATCACCAGGTTGTAAGCACATGCCTGACCCTTAATGAAGCGCAGGGATTTACACCCATGCCCGTGTGCTTTATGAACAGAGGTGTGCTCACGCAAGCCTGGATCTGGGCTCAGAGGTGACGTAAAGGCACTCGCTGCATGGGTAAGATTGAGGTGAGGGTGCCCAGGAGGCTGTGAAATTGAAGTTTCTTGGGAAGAAAGACATTTTCCCTGGAGAATGCTGGTCTGTGTTGAGCAAAAAGCCACAGAAAGTGGTTTGGACTGAAGGTTTAAGGGGGGTTTCTTGGAAGAAATCACTTTTTCTCCTGCTGCTCCACTGACATAAGCACAGAGGGCTCACTGCATTTCTTCTTCCCATTTAACGTCATTGGAACTGTCACTTCCAAGTCCATGCCTTGGAATATCCCAGTGCTGTGCAGTCCCGGGTCACTGGGATCTCCAGGCACCCCAGCACTGCCCTGTTACACTTCACGCCTGTCCTGCAGCTCGGAAAATACGAGCTGTTGAGCAGGGGCAGATGGAAAAACACCCGCAGGAGGGTGGTCACTTGATGTCTTTAACACCTGCAGAGGCCCCAGCCTGGAGGGAAGAACTCCTTGTGCCGTTCCTGGGCAGTTGGAGCATGCCTGGGATCACGGCACCTCCATCTCCAGCACATCGTAATTTTGGGGTGGGTTTAAGGTCTTTCTGCCATCTTCTCCATCACCTCTGAAACCACCTAAGGCTGACACTGAGCAGTCCTCTTGGGGACTGATCTCAAAAAGCAGAGGGAGGCCCCTCAGGTGATGGGAGATCAGAGATCACCATCCCCCACGTGTCCCAGAGGGAAGAATAAAAGCTGGACAAATGCCTCCTTCAGCACTTGTGCAGGAGGTGGCTCTCATGGGAGCCCAGGGCTGCTCCAATGGGACCAGGGACAGCCCTGATAGAAACCTGAGGGCCAGCTCACCCAGCCCAGGCTCCCCATGCACCAAACCCTCTTTTGCCTCAAACAAGCCCACACATGTGCTTGTTTTCGCAGCGCCTCAGTTGACTCCTCCATAGGGATGGCACAGTTGCCCCTTCCTTCACGTTTGCCAGCAAGATTGAGGGTTTGTTAAGTCCTTGGGAGCTCAGCATGCAGGTGAGCCCCGGGTTAGGTTCAGTCCAATCCTGAGGCTAACTCAGACATGAGTCAGAAAACCCCTCAAAGGAAGGCAAGAAGATGGGTCCGTGTTTAGGTATCAACAGTTGCTGGTGCTGCTTCTCCCTGGAGCTGTGGGCCCCAGTCACCTCCAGCCTGCATCAGGCCCCAGGCATGGCAGGAATGCCTCAGCTTGCACCGACCACAAGATGCTTCAACCCGGATGTCAGTGCCTGCTGTGAAGGCAGGGGCCGAGCTCGCTTGCATCAACCAAAGGTGAGGTGGCCAAGTGATGGAAATCAGTGCTTTGTTCTCCAGCTCCGCAGGTGGGGGGGACTGCGTGCAAAGGATCATAGTGAGGGCTGACACCAGCCAATGCCCCTGACCCGCTGCCAAGAGCTCGACTGAGGAAAATGTTTGTTTCATCTCAGTCTGAGAACACAGGGGATTTAGTCTCTGTGTCCAACACCTCACACCTGAATCCAGCATCTTCTTTAGCAGGGAAGAGGGAGGAAATGAGTCCCATGGTGAGTCCTTACCAGGGCTGACACACCAGGTCCTTCTGGGGACGGACGGACGGACGTATTGTAACCATTTGCTGCGCATCCTCCACTGGTCTTGGCTCTCAGTGCAAATGTGGGCACCTCTGGGTAGTGCTCAAGTGCTGGTGAGGAGTGCTCTTAGGGATGCAGTGTCCGGGGAATCCCCTAGTACCGCTTCCTCAAGACCTGTCCTGCTCCTTACTGGCACCAAGGGACAACATTTTCACCTCTTCCTCTAGGTACCACCTGAGTCCTCCACAAACACCGACACATGTAGGTGTGAAGCCTCACAGAGCACAGCACAAAACTGGAAATACAGCTGCAAAAAAACACATGTCAGCATAAACCTGAAACCTTCCTCCACTCCCAGCATTTTCCTGTAGTTTCTGAATCTGTCCCCAAGCACTGGCCTACCTGAACCAACCCCATCCCTGGGTTTCTGTTCCCTGCTTCCCCTTGACACTTACTGAACATGAAGAAAGCCTGGAGCCCTCTCCTGCTGTTTTCCCTCTTACCCAGGGCTGTGCCTGCCTTGGAAAGGCAAATGGAGCCCCTTATTGTCTGCCTGGTTCTCCCTGGCTGTGCAGAGCCCCAGCCATGGGACAGGCTGCAGCGAAGGAGCTGACTCTGGAGGACTGTGCAAGCTGTTATCTCACAAGTGGCTGTTTTGCCTTGCTCCCTTTTGAAACCAGGGAGCACATGTAGCATTTAACGAACCAGATGTCTGGCTCTGTGCTCGGGCCATTCCGTCCCTGCCCTCCCCATCACATGTGGCCTTGGGGTAGTGTTGGGGGTTCATGACCTTGCAGATGCTCTGGGCAAACGTGGTCCAGGGAAGCAGAAGGGAAGGACGGAGAGGGATGGATGCAGGAAAGGGGTCAACACTCCAGGTCCTCCCTGCCTCACATGTGGTGGCTAAGCATTCATTACCCTATAGGCCTCGGGGAGGGGGGGGGGGGGAAAGGGCTCAATCTCACAAGGACTTAGAGGTGAAGCAACCAGGTACCACACTGCATCTGTACATGAAGGTATGAGCTGTAGTCAGGATGTTTCATACCTGCACTGAGAGACATCAGTGTTCAAACACTGGGAGAGCCTCCAGAAAGGGCAGAAATGAAGGTACTCATAGAGGTGCTGGGGAGCATCAGGATCATGGATGAGGCCCTTCTCTGGTTATCTCCCCTGCTCTTCCGTTGCTGTTGAGCTCCACCTCCCATCACAGGCACCTCTGACTGCAGCCAGGCAAAGCCCCATCCTCAGGCCAGGTGTCCAGGGCTCCCCATCCTGCCTCTCCTCTGTGCTCCCTGACAGGCGTGCTGGGAAAAACCCACTGACCCTTCACATTCCCTGTGGTGCCCCAGGCCCCGAAAGACAGAACCTGGTGTTCCCTGAACAGCATGTTCCTTGGATCCGGGTCATCCCTGGTCTGTCCCAGTCTGTCCCAGATTCATGAAGTGGGTCCAGAAAGGGGCCAGCATGAGAAGCAGCTGAGCAGGCGAGTTTCCAGAGCAGTGCAGCTGGGAAAGGTTTATTTTGCTAAGCTGCTACTGTCCCAGGGTTATTAAAGACACACTTGGAGCATTAGCCCCTATTAAGCCATGCTGGTAAAACACGCAATGGGCCAAGAATCACAGCAAAGCCAGAAAGAAATGCTCTTTTTTTTGCTTAGTAAGCCTCAGAAAGACACCCCATTGCCCCAGGAGCTGCTTCATCTCGGACTCATCACTGATCCCAGCACCCCCAGCAGTCCACTGCAGAGACCATGCCTTGCTGCCTGGATGGCTTGGCCCCACGTTCCCAGCAAGGGGCAGCCCCACAAGCGCTGCGCTGGGGATTTCAGTCCCTGGCACCAGCCTGCACTGTCCATGGATTCAAATCATCATCAGGCTTTAATCAATGTCACTCAGTCCCGGCCAGGATTTGTCCATCAGGAAACAGCATCCCCTCCCGCTGCGTGACTCACAGTGGTGCTGAGCACAGCATGATCCACCCTGGGAAACCCCTTCACCAGCTGCAGCATCCCCTGGGACTCTCAGCTGGGACCCCGCAGAGGCACTGACTGCACTGATGGACCTGACAAGGAGAGGAACCTGTGTTCATGGGGCTGCCTTATCTGCTGCAGGCAGCGGGAAGCTCCCGATGCTGAGGCCACCGCAACCCATGGTCCTGTGGCTGCCGTCACAAGCCTCCTGGGTCATTTTTTATGTGCTGGGTTGGGACACGCTGGGCTAGCTCCCCTCGGGCCCAAATCTACAGCTTTGATTCAAAAGCTTATCAGTGCAGGGTATTTATAAACCCTGTGCATGGGGCTGCTGCTGCCTTCACCCTGAGCAACTCTTGGTTCTCTGCTCGGCTATGCTTGTACAAACACTTGGGTACCTTATTAACTGCGAGAGATTCAAAGCAAAGAGCAGGTATCAGCCCCTGAGTTCAGCAGGAAGCTTCCTCTGATAACCCCTGTATTATTTTATGTTCTAATCAGCTTGTTTCCCAGCTCAAGCACCTCCTACAGCCTAACCCAGCGTAACAACAAGAGTAAGTACAACCCTTTATCTCCATGGAACACGTGTTTTGAATCCTTATTTCTCAAGTATCTTCAAGAGCATGTGCTCTCCTGCGGCTTTTGTATTAGCTGAGGGCTGGACAAAGCACATCCACCACAGTTCAAATCCAGAAACAAACAACTGTATGAGGCCAGACACTGCAGGAGCAAATCCTCAGATGATGGATACTTTTGGACCAGGATGGTGATGCAGGCAGACAAGCAGGCACATAATATATACAGAGCCACAAGCTTTTGAGAGCAAGAAAATGAGTGCTGGACAACACAATGTATGTTAGGGGCCTGCGTCATGCAAGGAACACCAATCCCACTGCAGGAAAGTAACACTATAACCACAAGAGAGCAGCCATTCACCCCACATTTCAAAGAGTGAGCCTGAGAAAAGCCCCTCAGGTAAATATATCCACTGCCAACAATGGGTACGTGTAAATACATGCAGGGATTAAAGGTAAGTCTTTCTGTCTATATATAATAGCTTCAGAAACCACTTTGTTTTCTTGTTCTTGTCCTCTCCATGCTTCATTCATTGCCTTTTCTTCTCACTTTCTTTTTAGTGCCTAATGCAATGGGGCTCCATCACTGCCCTTACCAACACAGCAATCAGGAAGCCTTTTCTTTGGTAAGAATAGAGGAATATTAAGCATTTTACCATTGCTGTTTCAGTACATCATATTCCCTTTTTCACTACATTCCTTAAGAAAAAGCCAACATCAAGCACTGGGGGTGCGTAGGAGACAGCATCTGTTCCCAGCCTTCCATCTGGCCATGGTGGCTGGTAGAACATCCTGCTCCCACCCTCACGGCGGGGAAAAAGACATTGCAGGAGCTGGCCCAGCCCCAAATGTAACTTTGGAACCAAGTGAAGAGACTCCTGTAAATGAAATTTAGGGGAGAAGCTGCCTCTGAGTCAGTCCTGGCAGAGACAAATCCACCTCCGAAAGGGCTTTTTCCCCTGTGTTTTCCTTCTGGCATCCTGCTAATATGACAGCAATTAAAGGCCCTGAGAACTGGATGGAAACAATTTGGGAAGGTCTCTATTAGGTTTGCTCTCATTAGCACTCCAGGCTGGTTTTCCATCTGCTAATTGACAGCTGCCTTCCACATGCAGTGTCCAAACAGAAAAGCCCCGAGGCATTATACCCAGGTAACATGAACCGGGGCCGTCTCATTGGACTTGTGAAGGAGCACAAGGGAGGCAGTCACACGAGCCCACCGTGGCCAAGCTGATGTCAAGCAGCTCCGATGCTGGGGATGGCAAAGCAGTTAAGGTGGGATGTGCACGAGGAATTGGGACATGCCAGGTCTTCCTGCCACCTGCACTTGGAGCATCATTTGCATCCACAGAGAAGAAGGGATGCCCTCAGCGCTCAGAGGGGTTTGGAGCAGCAGCAGCACCAAGCACGGCTCCAGGCATTTGCTGCCTGCCTGGGGCTGTCAGGGCAAGTCTTACTGTGCTGACAAGGGCTGTGACCACTCTCTGGACTTGCCCTCCCTTGGGGAAACTGCAAGAGCCCTCCAAAGCCAAAGGATTCCACCTACAAAGCAGGCCCAGGGGTTTGGGTTCCAGTCCTTTGGGTTCCTCTAACCTGGAAGCAATGATGCTTCACCCATCCCCACTGCCTCGTGCCCAAAAAAACATAGCATTTGCCAAAAAAAGAGCCCACCCAGCAGTAAGGTAGACAGCCCCCTGAGGCAGACCCAGCTTTTCTTGGTCACCTGGGAAAATCAGGGCAATTCTTGTGCTGAAAGTCAATCAAGTCAGTTAGAATCCTAGCTTTAGCAAGACAGCAGTGGAAGAAGGTCCATCTAATGAATCACTGCCACCACTGCACAGGGAGACAAAGGAGAAGAGACAAATGAGAGGCCCTTTCTGGCATACCCTTTAACTGCTGGAGTGCTGCCTACGGGTGTCACAGATGCTCTTTCTTGTTATGAGAAAAACATAGGATTACCCTAAACACAGCCAAGAGATGAACTGCCATGAATTCCTGTGGGGGATGCTCACTCTGCACTAAAACACATGGAGGTGGCTGAGCCAGCAGAGCTGGACCTGAAAGCGAGACAGAGGCATCTCATGGATGCCCAGACTCTGGGAAGCCACTCAGTGAGCAAGTGGGTGGTAACACAAGATGTTTGCTCTGTGGGTTTACACAGCAACAGCACTGGAAATCACTGAGGAGCCAGGAAATGGAAAATGACTGCATGCCAAGTGGGCATTCCACTCATTTGTTGTTTAAACGGATCATTCAGGAACTGTTGGTTTTCCTCTTGCAGCTCTGCCCTGGCACCCAACCCAGACTTCCTGCCTACAGAGAGCACTGACTGCAAAAGAGGCTTACAGGAAGGGCTGAAGATGGTCCCACATTTCAGCTCTGAGTGTCCACTCTGGGACATAAGAAGCTGAACCTGGACTGCTTTCTTGGGGCAAGGCTAGGCCCAGGTATTAGGCATACTCCACCAGGATGCCCTGGCATTCAGCTGACATCCCCTCAGGTGGAAACTTGGTTCTGGCTTCTTTTTCTAGCTGAACTGCAAAGGTCAACAGGGAGGAAAGGGAGGGAAAAGACATCAGCTGGGCACAGGGATAATGCAGCCCAGCTCTGGTGATGCCCTAGGAGATGGGCATCTACAGACAAGTTCCCACTTTGCCCATTTGGAGTGATGGTAGGTTGGTTTTGGGGGGCTGAGCCTGAAAACTAACTTTGTTTGAAAACAAACTTCTTTTCGCCTGTCAGCACCAACAACCACAGCCTTTGCCAGTGGGTGGGAAGAGCCCCTAAGCCCATGTACGGACCTGGCTGTGATTTACAGGGAGCTCACTGAGTGCAGATCTCACGTCATTTCAAGTAGGAATAGCTGTGACTGTTGCTGCACGCTGTAAATCTGTCTGCGTGTGACATAATGAACAGCATCGTCTCCCGCAGGCAGTGTGATTTACAGGCATGGAAATAGCTACAGTAAGGTCATGGCTGGGGAATTGGGGGAGAGGCAGTGCAGGGGCAGGAGCACAGCCTGCACCACATGGGTGGGTGGGATGCTGCCCGTGTGCTGCCCTGCACTGTGCTCAGACAGCCAGGATTGAGGGCTCTGTCCCACAGCACAGCAAGCACGGGGCTTGTAAGACATGTATATGGCTTCCATCATCCCAACATGCTATTTTATGGTACTTACCAGGAGAGACTGTTGCATTAAAGAAATCATTCCCTGAGCAGAAGAGAACAATGAAGGTTTCTCCAAACCAAGGGCAGGGAGTTATCTGGAACATAAATAACCACTGAGTCTGTCGATGCCTCTGTTTCTATTAAAGAGAAATATGTAAGAGATCAAATTCTGCAGTAACTTAGCTAATAGTTGGCTGCATTGCTGACATCTCTACATAGGCTCACCCCAAAATAACTGAGCTTCAGAGCTCGCCAGGAGTTCTCCACTGCAATGGGTCTTTCAGGCAAGCAAATGCAAATGCAACTTCTGGGAACTTGGAATTTTCTGCAGGAAACCATATTGGAAAATCCATCCTCCCTTGGGAACAAACAACATCCACTCCCCAGCTCACCCCCACTCCCATCCCAAACCAAGTAATACTGAACCTCAGCTCAGTTTCCTCGGGATGAAAGCTCCAGGTAATCTGGATGCACTGGTGTAACTTCCCACATGGACACTTTAATCCTGGTATACAAATACCTATTTTCATGCAGATAATCTCAGTTTGAAGGAGTTTAAAATAAAACTCTATTCCTGTCCTGGAATAAGCATTGCTCTCTGGAACTTCACTCACATGACTGGTCTGGTTTAGCTACCAGCACAACAGAGAGGTCTACTTTTGGTGAGGAAAGTATGTTACACTAATGTACAGCCCAGGGAGCACCCCTGGGTGCCCGGCACTAATCTAAAGTAACATGCCTACTCTAACTGTTGCTTGTTTCCCTATCTTGGTCTGTGAAACCAAGCTCAGGTCAGCTCCTGACCCATCAGATTTAATTCTCTGAACCACACAAAATATGCTCTCCCTTCTATTCTATATCCCTAATATCATTCTATATCCCTAATATCCTTCTATATCCCTAATCCAAGAGACAGAAGTCCTGTTTGCTCTCTGGACTGCTCCATTAACAGTGTTTGCTGAAGAAGTGATCAGAGACCACAACAGCTTTTTCCACCCATGTCAAAAGAAACCTCATTAACAACTACCCACACCACAGGTTACCTGCTCAGTACTACCTAGCAGTAAGCAGTAGTATACACCAAAGTAAGCAGTAGATACCTAGCAGTAAGCAGTAGATACCTAGCAGTAAGCAGTAGATACACCAAACAGCCACAAAGCACACCCAGGAGTCCCACCACCCTAAGCATATGTTGTAAGGTCCATAAATACCTCCAGCAGTGGACACGCACCCTCATCTGGTCCAGCACCATCCCAGGGCAGCAGCCTGCCCAGCATCACCTTGGTAAAGCAAAAGGGAGAAAATCCAGCCCAGCCCAGCCCTGCCTTCATGCATAGCACATGAATGAGGCTCATCCACCTCTTCTCTTGCTGATGTGACAGGGTTTGCTGAGCCAGACCTAAGAGCCCTGCTCATGCCAAGGGTTCTACAGGACAGGTATCGCTGGTCTCCAGGGGCTTGTGGTGGCAGGCTTATGCTCAAGCACACTCACAACTGTCTTCTTGGTGCTTCGGACACTCGTGTCTGCTCCACGAAATAAGGTCCTTTCATGGTCACCAAGAGGCTGGTCAGCTGGAGAGATGAAGCAAGGATGTCCCTGGTTGTGGGTCAGAGAGCTCAGGGGCCACAGTCATACCAGTGTCACTGACACACTGGACTGGTTGCATCCATTGTCACTGCGAAGTGCACACAGAGGAGGGACAATATTTCTTCCTTTAATAAATAGCAATCCAAGAGCCATGAGGCTGTCCTGGTGCTCTGAAAAGCCAGAATTCCCCTTTGGCTCTCTATCCAGCTCCCATCATTTCCCTCAATGTCTGTCGTGCCATATAGCTCTCTTATGGCACTGGCCACACTTAGTTCTGCAGAAAGGCTGTGAGCTGGTGCAACCACCTACAGCATGCTCAAACACACAGATACAACAGGCATTGAACAGTTACAGGCTGGTCCTGTTTGCCACCCTGGCTGCTGTTCCAATGCCACACACCCAAAGCAGTAACAAAAACCCTCCAGAGTTGTCCCCTCCCATCTTCCCAACGTTCAGGGGTGCTCACCAACACGTTGCAAACCTGCATCTTCCAGCTGAGAGAAATCAGACCTGAATCTCCTGCCGGTGATAGACCGGAAAAGCAAGATGCTGATGTTGTCTTCAGCATCCCCCTCAGGCTCTGGGACTGGGTCTGTGAAGGCTACCGAGTACACCAGACTGCTCAGGCAAGGCTGTTTGAAGGGACTACTTCCTCGGGCTTTTTGTAACTCTCAAACCATGAATCTCTGCAGAACACGCCATGGCATTTGCAACAGCACATGATAACTGAAAGATGTCACTAGCACAGTTAGCATTACCCATGCTGCCAGTGTGCAAATGCATCTTGTAGCTTGGGCTCGTGTATTTGCAGAAACCATCTATTATCGAATCACTGCAGCTGCATGGTTGTGCAGCCTTCCTCTCAAAGTGGGAAACATGTGGGAGGGCAGCTGGGAGGTAACCCCCACTTCTCTGCCTTTTCAAACTTCCCTACAGAAGCAGCAGAATTTCCCCAGACAAACATTTCTGACGAGGAAACTGAGGGTTCCCCATGGAAATTTCCGTGAGAAAATACCCAGCTTGATGGTGCGCATGCAGGGAAAAGCTGTTGTGTAAGAGGATGATGCATTTTATCTGGTTCAAGTAGGTCAATGGGCAGCAGGAGAAGGCCAGGGCTCTGGCTGCGGCTCTGCTGCTGGGTGACCTTGGAGAACCACTGCCACGCTGTGTTCCCATCTGTGAGATGGGGATAAGAAAGTGTCACGCACAAACTCAACGGGTTATTAATAGGGGCCTCTGGCTCAGATTTCGAAACAGCCCAAGGGGTTGAGAAGCCCATTTGTTCCTAACAGTTCAAAGCAGGAAAGAGACTCAGATTTCCTTGACACTTCTGAGCGCTGAAGTTCGGAAAAAGCACTCTCAAAAGCATTTGTCTTGAGGGAAGCAAGCATCTGAGTATGTGACTTTCCCTTTTCCTAATACAAATAAAGCAAATCACCAATGAAGCTGAAATGTTTGGTTTGGTTTGAGTTTTACACTGAAAACCACCAGATAGAAATCTGAACATCAGCTACTCTGATGTCAGAGTTGTGGTAGAAAAACAGCTGATGCAGTGGTCAGAAGGAAACATTTTGACTACATGGGATGGGACTGTTTCCACAATTTCCTGTTGAAGCCATAGGTGAAATCGATACATTCTCCCCAAATGTTTGGATTTCGTTCAATGGCTAGATCCAATAGTAGCAGCAGTATGGGTTTGGTTTAAATGGCTAATAGATATAAAGAAGTTTCTGTAGGACTGCTATAAATGACTTCCTAGGTTGACTGGTAAAGCCCTGGTGACAAAGAGGGCTGTGAAAGGTGGCAGATCCTGTGTGGGATCAGGTCCGGAGCAGGGCAGAAGCCTGGGACAGGGACTCTGGGGACACCACTGGACAGCATCACATGCAGGGGCTGTGCTCTGGGATAGGATATTCTTAACACAGGTTTGTAATGGAGCACTTCTCATTCAGGCCAGCTACAACCCAGGGCTAGCAGAGGGCATTTAACGTGCACTTAACTGATGTGGAAAGGGAGAGTGCAGCCTGGGGAAGGGAATGAAAGCAAAGCAAAAGGAACATCAACATTCCTTGGCATTTTATCCGCCCCCTGAGAATATTCAGTCCCATGCAGGAGCAGGGGAACGGGCTGCATAATCTTCCTTCCAGCTCTGTTTGAATGGCAACATGGACACATCTTGCTTTCATTCTGAATTTTACACGATCTGACATGGCTCTTGACTCATTAAAAAGACATTTGGAAACAAACAAACGAAAAACTCAACTAAAATCTTTGTCAGCTGATTTTTGTCTCCTGGAAAGTTTTCATTTTGAATGAGGGGAGTTTACCACAGGAGAAAAGAAAATCACTCCCTTGGAAAGCATTCAACCACTTCTTGTTTGCCTCAGCTCTGTGTTTACTGCAACCGCAGATGCAGCAGCAACACAGGGCTGAGATGCCAGGATTATAGTTCCAAGTCATTGCTGTGCTGACCCCTTATCTCACCCATAGTCCCACATCTCTGCTGCCCCAGCCATGAGGACAGTGCAGTAACACATCACCCACATTGTCATGTGTGTGCTCAGCAGATGTAACCGCTGTTTCCTAACTGAAACTCCACGCCTAAGTGGGATTCAAGGTAAACCTTTCCTTCCAGCCAGAAAGGGCTGCGGTGATAACTGGTTCTCACCAGAGATCATTCTTCTTCTGCAGGTGATGGGGCTGATGTATTGGAGACCCTAAAAAAGAGGAGACTATGAACTCCATCTGCTAGTGTTAGAGAAGCCAAACTGGGATGGATTGCTTTCACTTACTGGGATGTATTACTTTCACTTACTGGGATGTATTACTTTCACTTACTGGGATGTATTACTTTCACTTACTGGGATGTATTACTTTCGCTTGGATGCAACATAATGAAAAGGAATTTGTGAGACACTCACACATGGGGAAATTCCTAACAGCATAAAAGGGAGGAAGGGATGGCTCATAAAAGAGTGACTCCCTCTGGGTTTTTTTGGCAACCCAAAAAAATAAGGTTGTAGAAGGACTCCATGCTGAGGGGAGGACAATAAGAAGGAGGTGTTATGGAAAATGACCCTTCCCTGAGCAAACAGATCTGATATTCCTGCTATCCCTCTGCATCCTTCATCTGCTCCTTAAATCTGTTTCCGATGAGCAGATGCAGCCTTAACCTCGAGTCCAAAAGACGTCACACTCACCTGCTGTGGTTATGCAGAGCTCGTGCCTTGCTGCCTGCGCTGCACTGCTGGGCACCACTCCATGGACCTCTGCTCACCATGGCTCAGCCAAGATGCACCCATCCAGCGGTCCATGCTCCAGGCAAGGGATGCTTTGCACCCGATTCTGAACCAAAACCGGTAACTTTTATCCCCGCCCCCCCAAAAAAGGTGGGTTGATCACAAGTTCCCAGCTCTCAGAAACACCTACAGACTTACAAGGACAATTACAAGGACAAACTTACAAGGAACATTGTTCTATTTCATAGGATCTGTCTCAGGACCAAAACTTACAAATAATATTTTCCTGCCCCATGTCAATGTAAAGTGAGTTTAAAGATGCTGAGGTTTCTCCTATGAGGACGCAGCTGACCTCAGGCAGAGGTCAGTTCTGAACATGCAAAATGTGGAACTAGTCTTAGGCTTCATTTGACTAAACTCAGGTTTTTAGGTATCCAATGCAATGTAGATTTTGATCCTACAATCCAGTGAAATCACTGGATTTCACAATCACTGTGAAACATAACTGAGGATCAGAAGAAAAAGCCAGGAGGAGGGAGCTATCCTGTCCCTGCAGAGCCACACGAAACTAAGTGATATCCAGTCATAGCAGGGAATGGAAATTTTCATAATCCAATTCAGTTCTTTCTTATTCCTGAGCTGGCTCTGCCCAAAGCAATGACCTGAACAGAGGGAGAAATCGTCCCTCCTTCCCTCCTCCTCTATTTATTCCAGCACTGTGTTTGATTTTGTTTTTATTGCATCTGAGGACTTGGAAATGATCTTCATCAGGTGCCTTTGGGATGTTCTTGTCTGCTATTGAGCTCCAGGGAAAGGAGGAAAAACCCCTTGGACTGAACAGGAAGTCACTGTTTGGAGGCACTGACACAGCTATTCAAAATAGGAGTCATGTGACATATGTGTGGAATTCACCTGGAAAAAAATGGGTTTAATGGAAAAAAAAATGGGGATATGGGGGGAGCAGGGGCTGTGTGAGGAAAAAAGGCTTGAACAAGCCCTGCATTGCTCTAGGACTGGGTTTCTCCCAGGACTGGCCTAAGCCTGCTGCAACGGGCGATAGCCCAGCTATCAGCGTCACTGGTGCAGGGTCAAGCCAAGGCTGAATGCTTCACTTCTCACTTTGCTGGGTTGGATTTCCATCCACTTCCTACTCAGCTTGGGCTGCTTATTGTTTTCCTGCAGCCTGTGGGGATCTCTTGTGCATGTGCAACATCCCTCGTTACACAGCTGAGCAGCAGGAACGACAGCAATGAAAGCTCCCAACCCCTAACCCCAACAGTGCAGCACTGCCCAAGAAGGGGAGGTGCTAGGTCCCCTCTTGGGGACACCCCATGCCAGGAGCCCTGTGGCTCCCCATCCGAGGGGATCTGGGCACTGTGAAGCAGCTTAAATTCTTATTTTACTCACCATGCTTTAGAGCTTCATTCTGGTTTGAGTTCACCTGCAAACGGATGGTTTGGCTGCAATCATCTTTGAGGTCAGTTTCCGTTTATAGTGAGAAACCCCATGGCTCAGTCTGTGTTTGCTTTGACTGGTTGCATCAATTCCAGTTTCTGCATAAGCAGGAAACCACAGTGAAGAAGAGCTGAACACAGACATCTGGGTACTCCCCACCACGACTGCATCGCACTCATAACCCCTCCTGCCTGAGGTGAACACCCCTAATCCTACCTGCATTTATGTGAGACAGAGGCTTAGATCGAACAGAAGTCAGGTTTACACATGTGCTTAAGTGCGTAAGGACTCCGCATCCAGGTCCTGTCACTCCTGGTAGTTTATCTGCTGACGAAGGTTAAATAGATGGAAAACAAATCATCAGCCATTGAATCTAGAACAAAACAATGAAAGCAGCCCGAAATTAGAGCAGGAAAGAACACAGACAGGAACAGCAATGTTAACTGCAGTCAGCTTGGCTAAAGCACCTAGATGTAATGAATTAGTTTTTCCCTTGTAAAAAGCAACCCATGTTCTGAATTTGCTTTTACTCGAAATGGGTAGGAATTGTTTCTGGGTTTAAAACCATGAGATGGTTTCACTATGACTAACCTTTAAAAAACCCCATGGAAAATACTGTTCAAATAAACCAAAAGGCTACAGCGAACTCTCAGAAATGAACCTGTCAGAAATGGGCTCTTTGGCTCCAAGAACTCATGGAAATGAGGAAGTTTGGAGTTTGGAACAAAAGTTGAATTATTAGCTCAAGGTAAGTGGTTAATGAGTGCTAAATACACATGTCAGTGAAAGATATACAAACTGAAATGGCACTTCTAGGAGACCTCACAGGGCAGGAACAGCCGTACATGAAATCTATCAAGCTGCCCTTTGGGACAGATTTGCAACTTAAAGAGCAGCAAACTGGAGTCATGGTCCCATTGCTTTTGCTATTGCTGCACCCCTTCCATCCCCCTGCACCCACAGCTGCCAAGCAAGCCCTGCCCTACACTCACCCCAGGCTGAGACCCACTTTTGATGGGTTCTTACTCCTCTTCTGTGCTTAATGAAGGGTGAGGGATAGGTTGGAAGCACACACTGAGCTCGAGCTCTAGTTGAATATCCCAGCTGCTGCCACACCAACTCCTTTGAACTGTGATTTATTTGTGGAGGAGGATGGGGGATGCCTCGGTCACAGTGTTTAAAGCAGAGCTGCCAACCAGCCTTTCGTTTCGGCTCGCTTTGCCCATTAGACTAAACAGGTTAGGGCTTGGCTGAAAGACATTTCCATGCCAGGTGATTTATCATCGCCTGTGGAGCCCAGGGAATACAGGTCCCCCAGCACAAGCGCGGCTCCTATTTGGAGCCCCGTGCAGGGTAAGGGGCAGAAGGGACCTCAGGCGTTGTTTATTTTGGATGTCATGTAATGGTAATAAAGAAGGCCAAGCAGCAGCACGTGTTAGCACCGAGTCAGCTTTGGACGCCAGGAAAACAGATGATCTCAGAGCTGCAGGGGACCTCATGGGGTGGCTCTGCTGGTTTCCCCCAGGCAGGACGTCACAGCCTCCAGCACCCTGCCCATCCAAGCCACAACCTCCAGGGACATGAACCCCACAGTAATGGAATCAGAACACAGAAGGAGGGTGCTGGATCCTGGGACCCTGATTTCTGCTGGTGTCTTACCTGTTTCCTGCATCTGATTTCCAAAGTCATCTGATGGACGCAGTAAAAACCGCTTTGCCTGTGAACAACTCCCCAGCAAGGCAGGATTCCCTCACAGTTCAGGGAAGGGATTTTCAGTCTTCCAGCCCCTAAGATGTTCATTTTGAGGATTAGAGGCTGTGCCACCAACCCCTTTGGGATAGAAAGGGGAATGGGACCTAAAATGTTATAAAAAGACAAAAGCAAGACAACACATTTATAGGCAGAAAATGATGACAGTGACTTTTCCCCAGCAGGAAGCATTTTGATAGGAAGTGCCTGGCTACTTCCATTTCCAGTGCAGGTTCATGCTGGAATGTGGTATCCCAAATTGCCTGAGATTTCAAGATTAGGGCTAGCAAAGCACAGGTAATTAACTGTAGTAAAAGAGCTGGGAATCAGACCCATCCAAAAGGGGGGTTTCCAGCTCAGTTTTGGAACTGGTTTTGAGCTTGTGCAAAGCTTTCAAAATGAAGAAAAATACTAAAATATAAATTATTAAATATGTTTTCTAATTTAAAACCACCCACACTTTAAGCCATCAAACACTGGGATGCACACGCAGTGTGATGAGCTCTGCCAGATCATCACTAAAACATTATCTTGCTGGAAGGGAAAGTCGCCAAAGAAATGCTTCCTCCCCATGGCACAGAGTTGTCACTCCTGGGAAATGGCATTGAAAAGCCTTCCCTGTACATTCGAGGTTCAGGAAGCAGAAGGTGCAAACAAGGATGCTACCACCTGCACTGGGGCAAGAGTTTTTGCACTAGAAGTCCCAGCACTAGTAGTATGGATGTCAGGAGCAAGGAATCAAAGCACAGTGATTTGACTTGCTCCTGCTTTATTCAAAGGGCAGGCATATCTGGAGCAGCCTAGGAGGAGTCCTTTTCTTTTTCCTGAAAGATGTGTCCGAGGAGTAGTATTACTCACCACAAGTAACTTAACACAGGCAGGGACTCAATGGGAAGAGGAGAAGAGCGCATCTGGCTGGGGGAACCACAAAACACCCACCTCTCCACCCACCCTGGCTGGAAACCCTATTCACAAACCCTGTGTGGGATGTCACACACAATTCATTACGTTCACACAAAGGGAGTGGAAAGGGACCTGCCATCACATTGTCACTGTAGTGGGGATCCATCCCTCACTGTCTATTCCATGATACATTGTCCACGACTATGGGGCTGGGATACCCCAGGCTGTGAAAGATGGGCACATCCTGTGTGGGGCAAAGCTGGGGGCACACAGAGCCTGGGTAGTGGCGGGCAATGCTGCAGCAGTGATGGGGAGCCCGGCAGCATTCCCTTCCTACGGTGTGGTTCAACATGTTCTCTTTTTTTCCCCCTATTAAGTAGGATCTTGACATGATTTTAGATCTCCTCCAAGGGCAAGAGTCTTTAGCAGAGAAACCAGATGTGCCTGGAGTTAAACACATGAGCTGAGAGCTTGAACTTTTAATCCATGGAAGGATTTCTATCAATTAAATTAGCCTGCATTTCCCTGCTCTCCCCTCCAGGCTGAGGACCCCCAGTGTCAGGCTCTGTATAAACCATGACTGTAACCTCTTCAGAGTGAGGCAGGCAGCTGTCCTGATAGCAAAGGCAAGTAAATGGGGAGAGAAGGGTCCCCCCTCTCTGTCTGGGGACCACACTGTCCTGCAGGGACCACTGCAGCAGAGAGAGACAGAGAGGTAGGGGTGCACCTACCCACTTGGCCAGTAAAAGCAACTATAACACGGTTGCGCACTCACCCTGGCTTACACTTGCTAGGAGAAGGAACAAGAGTTTGCACCATGTACATCACCGGCTTTTTGGTTGCTAAAGTAGGGGTGCCCCACATTGGCTGAATTTCAGCATCATGGCTGTGCTGCCATCATTTTGCTGCATTAAATAAGGCTCAAAGTCTGCCATGATGCCTGGGCTGCAACGCCAGCCCTAAGCCCAGCTCTGCCAAGGTCCACTGTGGTAGCTCCAATTTATCTCTTAATTCCTTATTTGTTTGCTTCATGCCTCACACCCTAGGAAGCCCCTCTGTGGACCAGCCCTGTGCGCAGCAGCACAACCAACCGGCTTCCTCACACCTCTCCAGGCTCACATCATACTCAGTCTTGTTATGTCCTGCACTGGGTTCTCTCCTCTGGAGCTCGCATCCAAAACGCACCCAAGCCTGCCTGCCCACTAGAGGACAATGTCCTTTAATTTAGCGTACAATGTTCACTAAAGGACAATCACAGCTCAGCACTGAACCACTGACGGTGACCAGCTTCTCCTTACCTTGCAGATGATGTGGCCACAGCAAGCAGAGCACTGCATGCACAGAAACCAGTGGAAGCAAGGGAAGAAAGCACGCAGATCTCTCATTGCTGGGAAGGCTGAATTTCTTCCTTAGCCTTAACTTGGCCCCTGAGCTGTTTTGGTGGAGGCTGCCATCACAAACAATGTGCTCTGTTTTCCTGATCAAGGTCTGAGTGAGAACCGAAATCCCCTTCGTTCGCAGGCTGGGTTTTCTCCTGTTTTCAGGAAAGAAAAAGTCAAAAGGAGCCCAAGGGCAGACCACAACAAACCGAGCCTCCTCTTCCAAACCCTCCAAAAGGACATTTTCATCCTCATCATGATATAGGAATAATATTTATCTCAGCTGCAGCCAATCTACAGCATCTGTGGCATGGTGCATGTGTGTGTGTCACACATGTGGATGCCTGGGACGATGGAGATGAGTTCAAACACAGCCCTGTAACATGAGGCTAGCAGGAACTGCTGGCCATCACCCAAGATAAATGGCCAGGACTGTCCATACACAGAGTGAAGGCAGTGGTCAGCCACTCAGCTAACTACACTCACACCATGCTTGCCAAAGCAAATGGGCTGCTTTGACCCTGACTGATATTCCCAACACAGTCTTCTTCAGGCAAGCCACAGAGAACCCTGAGTTAGCCTGAAATACAAATAAGATCTGTTAGATGGGAAAGCCCCGAGCAAGGATGCTCCTGCTGAGCCCAGGGCAGCTGTAGGCTGGTTTGTACCCCCTCCTTCCTGAAGATAATCTCATTGTCTGTAGCAGATTTGAAAAGAACTAAATACTTGAGATGAGAAAAGACACGCACCTCTGCAAAGACATCTCTTCCAGGAAATGAGAGTTCTCCTTGGGTTGGGGGTTACATATCAGAGGCTATTGATACAAGTCAATACTGCTCTCATCAGAAAGTTTTATGCTGGGAAATGCTGTTCTGTGGAGGTACCTTGCATTGTGTCAGCACAGCTGGATTTTATCAGCATTTTTGGAGTATTTTGATTTTATTGGAGTATTTTGTCTTTTCCATTTCAGTTTTGCATAAGCTTAAATAATTTAAATTAACATAAAAATGTCATTCAGCCAATTTTTATCACCGAGTGTTTTTTCTCACTGAAAAAAATCTCACTTTGTAGCAAATCTCAGTCTGGTTTGACACAGAAGAGAAACAAATTTCCTTTCAAATTCCTTTCCAAATTATGCAAATGTTCATAGAAGACAACATCTGGTTTCCACATGTATCTGATTGTTACTGTGATGAAGCCTTTAGCATAGTGTCTCTTCCCATCACATAAGATTAACTCAAATTGGCTTGGATGGGAATAGTCCATGAAGGCAAAGAGCTAGATGGGAGAAAAGCAAGAAGGCAACCAAGAGAGTGCACTGCTGGCAGAGCTGGTGGATTCCATTCGGAGGTCACTGTTAGGTTTGATATTCTTTTACATCTTTATTAATGACATGAAATGCAACTCGATCTGTCAGTGAAACAAGAAAAATAAACAACACAACCAACTGGCAAAGCTGAGAGCAAAATAGTTTCTCCATGAGGTTACTGGTTAGACAACACCTGAAATAGCACAGACCTTTCTGGGCACCCAACGCTATGATTTCAAGGGAGTTCATAGAAAAGCAACAGAGATGGTGGAGATGGAGGTGTTGAACTTGGCTCAAGGAAATGTTGGGCACAGCAACAAGCTATGAGTGCTTAAAGAAAACAAACACCCAGGCAGAAGGCCTGACCTTAGTGAGGCTGATGTCAAGCAGAGCTAGAATTTCATACCGAGGAAGAGGAGGATTTAGTGGTGGAGAAGGCAAGATGCAGGAGCCATTGGATGAAAACAGAGGAGGCCGACTGCAGTTTCAATACCAAGGGAAAACAAGGCAAGAAATTTCAGTTTTGTTTAAAGGCAGCAAGATCCAGAGTGCCAACCGACTGGTGCAGAAAGAGCCAACTGCAGCTTTGTAACCCTCTAATTAAAACAAGGTTAAATAAAACCAGTGTTACATATTCAGCTCTGATGAGAGAGGGAGACCGGATGCTAACAAAAGCAATGCTACACCCCCTGCAGCCAAACTCCCAAGTGTAGCAAGAGACAGCATCTCCCCAGCAGAAGCACAGATGGTTTTATATGGGAAGTGTAAATAAGATGTTACCATCTGGTTAATAAAAGTTGCATCGAAGCTAGATTTGACTACACATCCTCAGATGTGAGCATTTAAGGTTTTCAGCCAGAATGCCCATGGAGAAGGAATTCCCATTGATATCCAAAGTGTTGAACAGAACCACAAAATGTCCTGACAGTCCTAAAGACTACAAACCTATATTAAATCTCATTGTTATCTGTGCAGAAATATAACTGCACAAATATAACTGGCTCTACTAACAGAATGATCAATAGCTGATGAGATGTAGAGGCTATTGGAGAAGCTGGCCTCTGCAATGTACAGCAGATGCAAAAAATAAGGCTTAAAGCAAGCTATTTTCAGAAAATGGTAACTCTGCTGGAAAAGTCTGCTTTGGACATGGAATCTACTCATGCATTTCAGCTGAAACTGTCAATCAGTTGTTTGTTATAGAGGGAAAGACATTCCTGAGGAACTGGAAACGCTTTCTGGTTTGGTTTGGTTTTCAAAAGGCCCTTTTCTTCCTCAACTGACGTGCTATTAAAATAATGATCTTTCCTTCACAAGGACTGACCCTGACATCAAAAGAAAATGTTTATTCCAGGTTGCACATAAAGTTTTGAATTACTTTAAGAAAAGGGTTTTGTCTTTCTCCTTTGCTTGCAAAGAAACCAAGGAATTTCCAGTTTGGCTTGGACACCAACCCAGGTAGCCCACCGCATCCATCCCTCCAGTGAATGGTAACTCCAGCTCTGCCAAAACCTCCTGCAGCTTTCCCATCAAGAGGGGGGTTTACTCATGATTAAGATTAGAATGAACAAGATGAATGATAGGAAACCAATTAGATCAATGAACATGGGCATAACCCAACACCCTCTCCAATCAGAGGAGATTCTAAGTGATTGCAGGGGGTTAAGGTAAGTTTTGGGCAGCCAAATAGGAATGAGAAAACACAGCCCCGAACCCCCATCCCCACCACACCAGCACACTTGCTCTTGGAGCCTGCTGCCAATTTTTATCTTTATAAAGGGCTGAGTTAGCAGCAGGACTGCCAGGACTCAGAAGAAGGTGAGATAGCATCGCTCAAAGTCTCTGCGTGCAGGCAAAGAGGAAACACACTTCAGCAACAATATTAAGAACCTGCCAATTTCACATAAGATAAATAACTAGAGTTACCCTGCTCTATGTGTGTTCTGGAAATAGCACTACATACATCAGCACGGCCTGTTATAAAACTCTTCCCATCTTACTCAAGCTTTGGATAACTGGGGCTTCATCTTCCCAACCACCATGACTGGCAAAGCTATGGCACAACAGCTTCTCTTCTCTGTGTGCCTCAGGGACCCTCACTGAAAATGAAGCAACAATAATTTGGCTGTCCCAGTGGAGAAAGCAAGAGGAAGGCAAGAGATTCCTCCTGACACAGGAGGTTTCTAGCAGGGTGTGATTCGAACCCAGACCTTCTGCAAGGCCACTGTGATCTGTTTGTCTCCTTGAGGGCGTAAGCTTTACCGCTGTGAGACTGCGTTACCAGGACAGGACAAAAATCAGATGCTACCAAAGACTCCAACAGAAAGGCACAAGGAGCCAATGCTGCATTTGTCATCCTTGTAAAAATATCCTCCAGTGTGCTTTCATTTTTAAACAAACAATTCTAAAGCTAACAATAGCAAACTGCCATCACCCTACCGCCTTTAGCTAGGAACTCTTCATGGGCACAAGAGGCACAAGAGAGGGTTTCAGGCCTCATGGTCAAAAGCTAGTCAAAGGCTGGACCCTGTTTCTCTAGGCAAATCTTGGAGAGGCTTGAAACCATGGCACTGCAGTGCTTGAGCTGACATTTTCATTCTCTCCTTTCAATACGGATCTCTATTTAGACACCAGAACGTCAAACAGAGGATCTCTAAATACTCCATCAATGCCATCATCCCAGCAGGGTGCACAGGTTGTTGAGAACAGCAGAAAAGAACCCAACAACACAATGGTTGCCTTGAAGTTGGTTGCTGGTGTCCAGTGTACATCAAACATCAGGACCTGCATTTCTAGCTGGAGCTCAAAGAACCACTGCAATGTCCCTGGCTTTCCTTGGGCCAGGTGAAACAGTCCTGGGGACTTGCTGCTTCTGATCCAAGAGCTGATTCTGATCAAGAAATTCAAAGCTAAATCACAAGGGGAAAAATAACCCCACCAGAAACCTTGCTCTCGCAGCCCGTGTGGGACTGCTTTACTGGTGGAGCAGGTAAAAGCCTTCCTCAAGACCAAGCTGCTCTTCAAGCTGTTGCACATTTACAGCAATATTTTTAATCTTTTGGTTTAAATTGTACAGTTATTACATTTTCATTAAAAGGAAGATGGAAATGATTCCTGACATGAACCACACTCGCTTTGTGCCTTCTCAAGCACCAGAAATATCCCGTTGCAGGCACCTTCCGAAATGTTTGCCTTTTCCCTACCCATTCTTTAAGGGTATGTCAAGTTTCCTCATTACAAGTAAGACGTGATTTCTTATCAGCTGCCTGGCATGGTGCAATGTTTGCATTACACAACAAGATGAATGTTACAGGTTACTGGAGTCCTCAGAACTGTGAGAGTGGAGAGGAAAGACTGGGGCCAAGGGGCTGGCTAATCACAGGCTTGCCTTGGTCACAGCCAAGGACTTACACACACACAGACCTTCCCTATTCTTCCCTAAAAGAGAAGCTTTTCTTCAGTAACTCAGCCACGCAGGACCCATGGCTGCACAGGGCACCCATTTAGGCTGCACTGGGCACCTATTCAAGCTGCCTTTTCCTGAGTAACACAAAGAAACCAGCTGTTCTAAAGAGGAGAATTACATCCCTCTCTCTTATTTTCCTCCTTATTTTGCTTTTCATCCCCATGTGTCTTCCCAAAACACTTCCCCAACCACTGCCCCTTTTCCCCCAAAGCCAGCTTGCTTGCGATGGGGGAACCTGGTTGGCTGCACTGAGGGTGCCACTTTGGACTGGTTCAACCTCTCTGCTTACCTTGTCACCAAGCTCCATCCTCTAGAGGTGTGTTTCTGCAGGGAGGTGGTGATGGAGGATGTAACTTGAAGCATTTCCTGGTTTCTCTCCTATTCCTCCAGCAAATTACCTCCACACACCATCGGGCAGAGCACGAGTAGAAAGTCCTCATGAAGCAACTCAGACAACTCTGGAGCACGTGTGAAGAGAAAGCCTGGAGCTGTGAGTAGAAAAGGACATAGAAAACATAAGTGAAAACAGCAAAAACAGGAGGGGAGAGGAAGGAGCCCTCCACTCCTGACTGCTGAAGCTCCACACACTGGCAAAGACTATGAATGTCTGTGCCCAGAACAGAGGACATGGACAACCACCTTCAGAAGGGGAGGGAGCATTTCCCAGTAAAGAGGGACAAAAGGAGACCTACTCTTTCAGCCTGCTGGCCAGGCATGGCATCCCTGCTTCCCTTATGTGCTCCTGGAGAGTGATGAGTGTCTTCGGTAGGATGGGTTGGGCTTTACATAAACTATTGTGGGACTATGGGGCCTTCTACTAAATATATGGGACTAACACCTTGGGTGCAGGCAAGCTGCGGTGGAAATGGTGAATCTGAAAATTAGGAGGGGCAATGAGAGGGAGGGTGAGGATCATCAACTCCCATGAAAGAAATGGGAGCTGCTGCTTCATTACCAACAGCTGGTGCTTGCCAGCTCCTCTCCCTGCCCTGCTTTGGGACTGGTGCTTGTGTGCGCAGAAAGAGGGAGTTCTGCTGAGTCTCCCATACGGGTGTCCCATATTGTACAGGGCCCTGCTTAAAGATCCATGTGGGAGCACTGTTGGGTTGGGGTGAGCAGCGGACTGGGTGCCTGGGTGCCCAGCTGGGCAAGGCTGCGAGAGGCTAGTCACTGAAGCACCCACTATCACCCAGCATCACACAGCCATGGGGGTGCAGTGGCAAACACTATGGTTAATATGGACAATGGCTGAACCTGTACCTGGAAACAAGCTGTGGTGTCAGGATCCTCAGTAGCAACACACGAGGTCCGCGTGGTGACCGTGCACCACCTCCATTTCCCAGGAGAGTTCAAGCCAGCCTTGAGGTGTTAACACAGTCTCTGCTGTATAAATAATTATAAAATGCTTCAAATACACCTTTAAAAAAAACACAGGAAAAGGTAAAATGAAACAACCCCAAAGCCCAGAACCGCTCATTGCATCTCCAGCAAAATATCATCTTAACCTTGCCTATCTTCAACCCGGGGCTTTCACTAGCAGAGAAAACCTCTCTCCTCCCTGTACCCTGCCTGTTCTCCTGCTTGCTTGGTGGTTACTGAAGTTAGACAGGATTGTAGCAATGTCAAGATCTGGGGGCAAAAGAAGGTGGAGGTGAGAAAAAAAGCTTTTCCACTTTGTAGTCCTACCATGAGCATCTGGCTTTCACCCATAGGGGTCAATGGGAGATGGGAGAAGTTCATAGATGATTTATGACATGCAGCATATTTGATTTGCAAGGCTTGGGACCTTGGGCAGGACTCAAGGACAGCTCTGGATGTCCTGGGCATGGGAGACCTCCAGTTTCTGTCACTGCCTGTTATCAGCCAGCTCTGAAGGCAGTAAAGCAGCACCCAAAAGACTCAAGCTCAGTGATGAAGGTATCGTGTCCAAATGGAGAGTGGTGCAGGGAGGAGAGACCTTTTGGGAGGCTTTCAGGATGTGGAAATAGCGTTACCTGTGTGATGCCCAGGCGTGGACAAAGCTTCCCTTCGGGACTTGGGAAGGATCTCTTCCCTTTTCCTCCTGGGTGATTACCCATCCCTGGGCTGGACTCTAGTTCATCCATGGGCAGCAGGGCTTCATCCTGTGGCCAGTGAGACTTGACACCTAAAACTGAACCAGCCCATTTTATGACCTGGGCTAATGTAACTCATTTTATGTCTGCCCTGGTTTGTTCCTTAAATGGCCTGGCTAGCAAATCCCAAGCTGGAGCCGTCACTCTGCCCCTGGCCATCTCTGCTGCTGCATACGAATGGGGATGGACTCATTCTGAAGTGTTCCTGGGCTAAGGGTGACCTACTTACATGGCTGCGGTGCGGTTTATTACAAATTCCTAATGATCTCACTGTTCCATTAAATGAAGGTTGCC